TGATGGCCTAATGATGTGTTTTTATCTAATTGTAAATTTTAAAGCTTCAAAAATAGTGTAGATCATTATTCTATTGTACAAACTGGAAACTGGACGAGGGCCGGATCCGAATAACTCAAACATGGGCCGCTTCACCCGGGCTAACCCGGTAGGTCCCAGTTGGGCCAAAAAGTATTGAAAAAATACAACAAAATACAAAAAATTCAAAACAAAATGGAAAGTATATTTAAATTATAATTAAACAAAACTCATCCAAATGAAATTAAAAAGTAGTGGAAAAATAAATTTGTAAAAATCGATTTGTGCCTAGGGGTGAAATAATCCAAAAAAAGAAGGAAAAATGTAAAAATAAAAATTCATAGCCAAAACACTTTTTGCCAAAATGATAAAAAAAAAAAAAAAAAACACTAAAAACACATTATAAATAAATCCCTTATCTTTTGGGATTTCTTTTCTTTTTGGATTTTTTTAAAATACCTGTCTGGACCACCTGAACCAACCAAAAGCACCTCAGCAAGTGGCTGGTTTCAGTTTACCCGATCAAGCTCGAGTTAACCCGGCAGTCGAACACTAGTGTAAATCGAGCAGATCTATAAATACTTTGAAATATTGAAAATTAACAGCCCAAAGATGTCTTATTTCCTTCAGGCTTGAAATTCTTTTACGTTTATACTTCTCAAGGTCGAGATGATTTATTAAGGGTTTTCTACATTGAAACAGCTTATTCTAGTGAGTTTTTAAAATGCACCTTAATCTGATTGTTTAGGGCTTCAACCTTACATAAACTTTTTCCTTTGTGAGAAAATATTAGAGGGAGAAAGAAATGCAACATCACCCCAATATGAAGCCATAGATATGGGGAGAGTCCTAGGAAGGGACTTAATAAATCTGGTTCGTGTTGAGCATAGTTATTAAGATGGGAAGGGAATACCTAGTCTCACTAGTCAGGCTGCCGACTAGTACTTCGAGCGATTTAGTTTTTTAGTTTGGTCAAAAACCAATCAAAAATAATGTTTGATTGTATTTTTTAAACAATCTAATCTAGACAGTTTTTCTACAGTTGAAATAATTATGGTAGAATTGAAAATTCAAATTTAAAGAAATAAAAAGGTAGGAGCTAATAGTAGTTAAGATTTATTATGGAGCATGTATATTTTGAGTTTTTTTTTTTTTTAATAAATATGTAAGTACTCAACAAGAATAAAGAAAACGGAAAAGATTTGAATTTTGTTTATTGTGAAAACATCTATAGTTTGTTTTATTTCATTATTCCCTCCCCTAAACTTCCTAAGTTTTATGTGAGGCTCCTCTTGAAACTTCTGGACTACTCATGTAGCCTTAGCATCCAAAATGAATGAGAGAGAGATAGGTTGGTTTCTCACACTAGAAAATCAACCTGAGTCATTGATCGGAATGGGCAATTTGCCAATCCAAATAAGGGCGCCCCTCAAAAATATCTTCAAATTGATCATCTTGACCTCAAGATGCACGGACATGAGAAAAAAAAAAAAAGGATTTCATGTTTTGGAAATAGTGTGTCTTGTAATGTATTTTGGGAAAGCTTTCTATGTTTCCGTACAACATAGAAGTTCTATGTTCTCCCTACCATCCAGCCGTCAATTTTTTATCAAGAGAGCCACTTACCATTTGGTCTTAGAACTGAAGTCTCAAAGTGTTTTATTTTTAGTTTGTTTAATACAATTTTTTTGAATATGAAATTTAGTACGTGCTATATTCTCATTGGGGCACACCTATAAAAAATATTAACACTAATTTTTCGATAAAAATAATGACCAAAATACCCCTTAAAATTTTCAAAGGTATTTTGGTTATTTTATTTTATTGAAAATATTTTTTTTTATATTTTTTCGTTAGTGCGAATTTAATATAAGAATGGAGGTCCAAAATTAGGTGTCAAAACAGTTTATAGAAAAAAAATTAAAAATAAAACAGTGTGGAGACGTGGCATTGTGATTGGAGCAATCTTGTCCCTCCATTAAAAAATAGACGGTTGGATAAGGGGAACATAGAACTATGTTGTAGGGGGAACATAGAAAGCTTTCCCATGTATTTTTGGACCATCAATTTTGAAGATTTTCAACTTTTCATAGATCCGCACGATCTACACTATTTTTAAAGTTATCATAAAGATTTTCAGTATTGAAACCACATTTCTTGATACAATTGAAACCACATTTTTTGGTATTATTGGAAAGTGCGTTTTAATTTGATTGATTAGTGCCTCGACTTTATTTTATTAATAAAACTCTAACACTGAAAAGACATGAGCCAAACTCCGGACCGATAGGACAAGGTGTCTTGAGTTGTTTTCCCTTTAAGAAACTTAAAAGATTTAAAAAGAGAAAAGAGTCTTTCGCCCTTTTTGACTTGCTATTACATGGAATCATACAACAAACATAGATGGGTATCCAAAACATGACCATTTTTTTAGTTTTTTGGTCTTAAGGATAACTGTTCTTTATACAACATGGTCATCTCTCTCTCTCTAACCCTTCTTCTTACAACATCGCTCTAACCCTTCTTCTTACAACATCGCCTTCTCTCTCTCTAATATATACCAAATGTTATTTTCTCTATGATTCTCTAAAAAAAACATGTCACACTCATCCCTATCTTAGGAACCACGGTGCCCACACTTTTTACTTTCAAGCACATATACTATGCTCTTGTGGGAGTATAGTGCACATCTACTCTCTCAACCAGAATGCCTACTTGGGAGGATATTTTGAAAACCACCTACGAATCATTAGTTGATCATTTTTAAAAGAAAATTTAAAATTTGAATTTTTTTTTTTTAATAATTAGATTTTACCATCTAAAATTAAATAGTTTTTATTCAATTTTAAGACATTAATTTTTCAAATACATATGGAAGTGCAATTTAACCAACCCCAAATAGTTAGAAAAAGGCTCCGATGATAAATTAAAATTTTTTTTATTGAGATCAATCTATAAATTAAAGAGGTTATATCTCCAAAAATTAGGATCCTAAACTTAATCCTAGAGGAGGTTTTTAAGTGGGCAATGGGAGTAAAATACTTTCTTTAAGAGGAGAGAACTTGTATGTTGTAGAATAGAAGAAGCATAAAAACCCTACCCTTTTACTTTTTTACCAAAACTTGACTCTTTTCTACAAAACTCTCTCTCTTACCTACTTAGTTGCTTGCTCTCCCCTGCAGTAACTGCAGGGGAAGCACAATTTAACCAATTAGCAAAAGCCCAGACAACAATGTGAATGTCGCATTCCATTCTTGCTTTCATTCCTTTGCTGAAAAAGCCAAAAGCGTAGCTATAACTCCTCATTCATTGGCGATTGACCCACTCAAGGGACGAAATTGCCCCTAGAGCATCTAGCCTTTCCAGCTATATGCTCTTCCTAGCTTGGAAAAAGAGCAAGAAAAAGGAAACAGAAGGCCCTTTTCATGCATGTCCTCTCTCTCCCCCCCCCCCCTTTCCCATGCCTCGTCCCTCCTCTCTCTCCATGCATGTCTTTTCTCTGTCTTCATGCATGTCCTCTCTCTCTCTCTCCGCATGCGTTTGTTCCTCAC